AGACAGACGAAGAACCAGTTACCCGTGCTAAGAAATGAGTCACATAATTCGTTGACCTCCTAATTACGTGACAAACAGACACGTTACCGATGTCACTAGCAATCACTTGACATTGCTAAATTAAACCTACTTACGAAAGATTCATCGAAACAGAATTGAAACTAATAACACAAAAATTTAAACAATCCAACTCTAAAATAAAAGAGTCAATTCCTTTTTTGGTCCTAGACTTATAGGCTTGGACAATTTTAGTCCTTCATAAAAAAATTTGCCACTTTATAGCCACTCTTATTGTAATGATGCCACTTTTAGTCCTTCGTCTAATTTTCCGTTTGTTGACTGTCTAAATGAGGGACACTTCTGTCATTCCAACGTGTTCTTCTTCTCAACATTTCTTTTCTTTTCCTACCGCCCCAATCGGAGCTCCGAACTAGTCAATGAATGGTGTTATGGTTTGACTGTTAATATCCGAACAATCGGAGCTCCGAACTGGAAATGGCAGAGCACGAGGAAAATCTGCACCACAAAGAAGAATTCTTGATGGAGAAGATTTCCAACAAAGATGATGAAATACAGTACCCGGCAGCTGCACTATGCCATGTATTGTTACAGGAAACTATTGGTAACTGCACTAGAGTGGTCCTTCCAAGAAAAGAAGAACAAGAAATTACTACAACCGGTGCCACCTATAATATACTCAAAATCCTTATTTTCTATAAAAGAAGAAATGAAATTGGAGCTACAGAACCCAAACAGCCAAAATTTGAGTCTCTGAAATGGCACATTGCTTCTAAAAACTAACCAAACAGCCAAAACTTGAGTCTCTCACTCTGATGAGAGTTCATCTAGTAGCACAAAAACCTCCAATTTCTTTACACTATGCTAGCATCAATTCATTACCGAACTATATATCCAGGAATACGATCTAGAGATTTGATGTCGATGGCTAATTGTTGCAGTCTAGAGATTTGAGCTCTTCATTTTGCTTCTGTTTCGCAATTTCCCCCAAAACTCAATAGTAAAGAAACATCTGGGAGGTGCGACGGACGGTTACGTTGCCGGAAAACGAAAATTTGGCAGAAATCGTGAGGATTCATCCAGAAGCTCAGACTGATCATCAATTAGGTGATTTACTAACAGATTGCATGTGATTTCCAGAAGTCGTATTCCAGAGGCGAGAGGAAGCCGATTCTCGTGTGTATGCCAGATTGGGGAATCCGAAGCAGTGCCACAACCCTGAGATTTGAACAAGAAACACAGAAGTAGGGATAGAGAAAAAGAAGATTGCAGAAGAAAGGGGGAATTTGCAGGAGAAATAAGGGAAGAGAAATTAGAGAGAAGAGATGAAGTAAAAGCAATAATTCATATTCATTCCCAAAAGATAATTCCAGTACTGCAATTCTATCCCTATATTCTAGCCATCCAATTCAACAAACTCCGGATTTTCCGGAAGGAGATAACAAAGAAATAACAATAAGAAAAATTAACATAGGTATTTATACGCTGTCGTATTGCTCCCAGCAGATGCTTGGTTCATGACATTCCCCTCCGCTTCACTTGATCCTTGTCCCCAAGGATACAAGGATCAAAATTTGGGACTGCCTTATTGTTGCATTTAATCTGATTTTTTCTTTATCTTTTTCTTAGTGACCTCCCTCATCCTGGCTTCTTTGGTCTTGCCTCTTAGGAGCACTTCCCTGCCATCTCTAAGGAAGGATATGCTTAGTGGTCTGGTGTGTATTTGAATTGGGGAAAATTGGTCTATCCAATCCATGCTTAAGACCATGTCACACCCCTCTAACCTCAGCAACCTAAAGTCTTTGGTAAACCTCTCATTTTGAACCTCCCACTGAAAATCCTTACACATTGCATCACAAGTTAATTTTTGGCCATTTGCCACTGTGACACTCAATGGGTTTGCCCTTCCAAACTCCCTCGTTATTTGACTTAGTATGGTGGGGTCCAAGAAGCTGTGGGTGCTGCCAGTATCCACCAAAATGGTAATATGCTCCCTGTTAGTTGTTCCTACCATTTTAATGACATTCATACCTTCACCACTAATAATAGTACACAAGGTTACTTCAACTTCTTCTTCTCATTGATGATCCCTACTGACATCCTCTTCAAGATCCCGGGGCACAACTTCTTCAATAATATTAAAGGTAGGACCTCTACACTTATGACCAGTGTTCCAAGACTCAAAGCACTTAAAGCACTTGTTCTGCTCTCTTAACTGATTTTTGAGTCTGCTAATTTCAGGGAGCTTAGCAGTAGAGTTCAAGGTGTTTGAGGCTGAAGATGTGGGTGGATTAGGGGTATTTTGAGACATGTATGGTTCTGGAGGTTTGGGGTTATAAGGGTTGGTATAATAGCTGGATTTTTGCTATTCTTTATGGATTTCTGGGTAATATATAAGGGTTTTTTAGATTCATTTGAACTAAGCCCCTTTTCATATTGCCTTGCAAGCCAAATAACATCCTCAAGGGACCTAGGCCTTGCAGATCTTACAAAACACCTAAGTTGTTGTCCCAATCTGGCTATGTAGTTATCCAAGAAGTATCCATCAGTTAAATAGGGGTAAGTTTGCAGTAACAAGCTTTTGAGTTCTTCAAATCTGTCTGTAAAATCATCTACACACTCAAGTTGTTTAAAAGCAGAAAATTCCTCCATTACATTCATACCATTTGCACCAAACCTCCTACATACTGAATCTGCAAAGTTTTGCCACTGAAATCCTGCCCTCAACCAATTAATGTAGCTCTCAAATCACACCCCAACTTTCCCAGCCAAGTTCACATACAAAATGTTCATTACTTCATCTCTAGGAATTCTTGAAAGCATAAAAAACCTTTCACATCTTATTATCCACAACCTGGGGTTCTCATAATGAAAGGTAGGGAATGCATGTTTATACCTCATCATTTGATCTCCTCCTTGGTTGTTTTGTCCTTGCCTTGCACCAAAACGAACCCTTCTGGTCATCCAAAGCCTGCCTGCATCCCTAGAATTCAAATTTGGATCGAAATGGTTCTCATCTTGGCCTGCATCTCCATCAGAGACTTCTTCCACCTCAACCTGATCTTCCACTACAGGCTCCTTGCTATGTCTTCTTCCTGGATCAACACTTCCTTCACCAGGGCTAGGTTGCTGAGGCTGAGACTGTCCATGGACTGAAGGTTGATCCATAGGGGGTGGAGGAGGTCTGTTCAGTCTTAGCAATTCCATGATCTCATCCTTCCAGCCCACCATGTGAGCTTTGAGCTCCTGGAAGGAGTCTTCTAGGCTTTGCTGCCCAGCTGCTATCTTACTGTTTTGCTCGAGCGCATTGGCTTCCAATAATCTTGCCTCAAACTCAGCTTGTTTTTCCTTTAGTGCGCAGAATCTATCTTCGTTGGTTACCATCCTTGCCCAGAAAAGGGAGCTCTGATACCAAATGCCACAACCCTGAGATTTGAACAAGAAACACAGAAGAAGAGATAGAGAAAAAGAAGATTGCAGAAGAAAGGGGAAATTTGCAGGAAAAATAAGGGAAGAGAAATTAGAGAGAAGAGATGAAGTAAAAGCGATAATTCATATTCATTCCCAAAAGATAATTCCAGTACTGCAATTCTATCCCTATATTCTAGTCATCCAATTCAACAAACTCCTGATTTTCCGGAAGAAATATCTGGAAGGAGATAACAAAGAAATAACAATATGAAAAATTAACATAGGTATTTATACGCTGTCGTCAATGTTGCAAAACACGTTAGGCGCCCCCTAGGCGCCAAGGGGGCGCCTAAGCGCCGATTTTTTATTTTTTATTTTAATTTTTTTTATTTTTTTTAATTAAAAAAAATTTTAAATTAAAAATTTTTAAAATTTAGTACTAAAACATAAGGTTTTCATAGTTATTTCTTAGAAACTATTTACAAAAATAGTTGTAAAATTGTTCAAAAGATTGTTTAAACCATCTAAATACATAAAAAACTAAAATTAAGAGTTAAAGAAGTATTTTTTTGAGAAATTAGTGGACCAAACCGGATGCTTGGTTCATGACAAGCAGGTATTGCTCCCAGCAGATGCTTGGTTGTCGTATTGCTCCCAGCAGATGCTTTGGTTCATGACAAGCAGGTTCAAGCAGATAGGTTAGCCAGAACTGGTAATCTGAATGAAATCTTAAAGGATTATCGGCCTATTGTGAGAATTTCAGAATCGAAATGGGCGAATTTGGTGGAGACAGAGGAGAGGTTGACTTTTGTTGGGAGATTCGCGAGGGAGATACCGTCGCTGGACACAATCAGAGCGCAGATTCGATCGATCCTTCGCCTAGATGGAGAGGTTCATATCGGATCATTGTACAGGAGAACGATTATGTTGCGATTATCATTGGAAGAATGGAATAGGATTGTAGACGTTTGTGGATGAGAGGCCAGGCGTCGGTGAGAAGGATATAATATGGAATGACAGAAATGCCCCTCATTTTATTTAGAGGGTCAACAAACAGAAAATTAGACGGAGGATCAAAAGTGGCACTATTATAATAAGAGTGGCCATAAAGTGGCAAAATTTGTTATGAAGAACTAAAATTATCCAAGTCATTATAAGTCTAGAACCAAAAAATGAATTGACTCAAAATAAAATTATTGCCTCCACAATCTTTGAGCGAAGCTAAAACCTCCTTAGCATCCACATTCCACTTAATGATATTAATCAGCGGTGGAGACCATACAGCACTGTTGCCACCTGCATTGCATGAGGATATGATGCGCCAAATATTTTGTCATCCGTTTTGCCATTTTTTGAAGCGGCTTTATTCAAACTTTTTTTACCCTTAATATATTTACTTTATATCAAATTTTAATATTATTTTTTATAGACTTTTTTGAATTCATTTGAACTTTACCCTCACTCAAAAAAAATTTCAGATCCGCCTCTGCTGCTAGCATCACTGTTGTGGTTGTGGGTATCATCAGTGCAGCTCTTGGGTAAGCTACAGAGCTGGCAGATGTAACACCATAAAAACACAATTCATATTTACTGAATTTGAAAACATTAATTGGCCTAATCCAGATTGAAATTCTTGACAAAGAGCTGGCAGATGAGATGTAACACCATAAAAAACATGTAAGCCAGCCCATCGAGTACTAAGCCCCCTCAACATACTCTTCTGTTTGCTCCATTGCAATATTCATGTATCCATCTATACACGCTAAAATGCCTGCAAAATACATAATGCCAAAAGCAACGTATGAATATAATGTATCTTCACGTACTAGTCCAATAACACAAGCAAATACGTACAGTGCAAACAGCCTTATCACTCCAGCAAAACAAACCCTTCATGATAGACTTTTGCATGTAAACAACAGTTGCACTCTTTCATATCAATGATTAGGAAATTTTAACAAAATGATCAGAGGACAACTCTTCCTTTCATACTCAACAGAAATATTATATTGTGTCCACATATTTCTCCATCACAAAGAATAGGTAATTTCTCATTCAGTATTTTGGTAGTTATGTTGTTTTTTCTCTTACTCAAATACTGAAACCGCGAGACTCAAAAATGAATGGAAATAATTTGATGAAGGTGCATTAGCACATGTTAAGTGCACATACAATAGTGCTTTCCTACATGGAATGCAAAACTGATATTTGGCTACTTTTTTTTTTAGATAGGTAGTACTAGGACTAGGAGCAATATTATGGCAACATCTCTAACAGATTGAAACTGTACTAAATCATATGTCCATAAATTTCAGTTTTCATTTTATCCTGATCTCCTAATGTGTCTGATATGAGTGTTATCTTTTTTTATTTTGAAACAAGTAGTCAAAGTACAGATGATAAAAAATGGACCAGGGAGGAAACCTGAGTCTCACTTTGGCCTTTTTTAGGCTTGTAAGTCTTTTGAGTCATTTTTAATATGTTGTTTTTAACAGTAATAAATTCTTATTTCCAAGTAATTCTTTGGTCTTAATGTCTGACAAGCATAGAAGTAACAAACTCACAAAAATGTTTCTCTTCAAATAAATAGCCATAAATAATAAAGATACCTAAGTACCTCGAAGATACACCAAGTAGAGAGCACAAGTGACCAACCTCGATAATCAACACCTAAGTTCATTTTGATGACCGTGGTGCACACAATAATTTTCCAGGTGCATGATGCCACCCAGGATGAAATGGAATTCGTTTTCCAATAAAGGCTCTTGGTTATAATATGTTGGTTTGACATTGGTTACAGATGAAGAAGCATGTCCGATCCATAAATGAATAGTTTGGCTAAGGCTAACTATTTCTACCTGGTGCTGTCAGGTTCATGCAATTAATGACATTTGGGAGAACACCAACATCAACGCGAACAAGAAAAAGAAAACAATATGATAAAGGACAGATTGAAAGCATGACTTCAGTTGTGAAGATCATGATGAATTAGCAAGTATTAATGGAGGATTATGGACCCATTTACACTCAACGAATTGAAGCACTAATTGAGCTCAAGCCACTTTAGTAATTTTGAAGGACTCAACCATATATACATTCTCCACAAATTTGAAGATAAGTATTGTACTGTTGCTACTGATATTATTACTAAGAAAATTACACATTCAGTACTATAACTATTGGAGTCTTGTTAATTTTAGTACGCGAACCAATTGTTAATTTTTAAATTCGAGTACTGAAATTAACAAAATTCCAATAGTCACGGGACCAAAAGTGTAATTTTCTCTTATTACTATTATTTCTTTTATGTTATTTTTTTTTATCAATTATTTAATTTGCCCAACCGCCAATTGGTTCGAACAATTCCATAATTGGCAATCTTCATGCTGTCACTTACATAATATGATATGATAAGCTCTCTGTGCTACCAATTGTATTGCAAGGCAAGTCTTGTGTTGTCACCTAATTAAATTATATGGTAAGCTCCGTGTTACTTTCTAAAATACATCATAAGCGGTCAAAGTACTTATGAAGTCCATGTACTATAGTGTTTTGTTCAATTTAGTGCTTGTACCTTTATTCTGTTCAATTTAGTCCCTATACTTTAAAATGTAGTAAAACTGAAGACAATTGTCCAAATCTCAATACGAACATGGTTGTAATTATTTATTTTGGTCATACTAATTTAATATATAGGTGGTAAAAATAATAAATTTTAAATATTTATAAAGTAATATATGAGTAGGAATATAAATATATATCATCAGCGCCACATAACCTAAGTGAACGATAATATTAACATCGTTAACTATTATCCTTAATTGCACTTTATTGCAGTGACTAAATTGAACAAAATAAAAGTATAAGGATTAAATTAAACAAAACGCTATGTACATGAACTTCATAGGTACTTTAACACATCATAAGCTCTATGTTACCTCCTACTTAGTCACAATGAATAAGTATGTGGTTGATCACAGGAAAGGAAGATAGGGATTTTCAAACCTATCTTCTATTTTAGAATTTTAGATATAATTATAAACCAATACTAATGGCGGGCCCCACTAATCATATGTTATTCAACATGCAGTGAATAACAACCATAAACTCTTAGCGCTATGCGCACTTAGCTATGACTCTGATCATGATCTACCATTAATGCTCTGATGAGCGGAGAAGGTCATAACTTTAGCGCCCCGTGCATAAACATATAGTCGATCTAGACTACACATGTCACACTCCGAGTGTTGTTATATGCGATTTTATTTCACGTGTGCTAGTTTTTTACTTCCTTTAGCTGACATATACTTACGTCTAAGAAAGAGGGGGCATGGGAGCTTATGATGGAATAATATATATTTCATTATATAGTTATTATTCAATAGTCAAGGAAGAAGAAGTCTAGGCAAGAAAGTAGGGAGGGCTACGGGAAGTTACCCCATATTTGATTGATGAATATTATATTGGTGTTTAGTAGTTGGGTAAGTTAGCTAACAAGGCATTTATTTGCTATATTTTAGTCGTGAATATGACGGGAGAGATTAAAAATGACTCGTTGTGTAGTCCTTTTCCACAGCTCTTTAAAAATAGAATATGATGGCATATCACATATTTTAGAAGATAATTTTAAAAAGTGAATATAATTAAATTATAATGCAATAATTCAAGTAATTAAAAATTAAAATAACATTAATTTTACAAATATTTCGTTAAAATAAAAAAGAAGTCAATGACCAAATATCCAATTTTAAAAATACAAAATGTTGAATTTAAGAATTCAAACAAATTTAAATTACATTATCATCAACCTTTTTTTTTTTTTGAAAATACATTATCATCAACCTAAGTATTCCCAACTTATATTATAATATATACTCGCTCTCATACAGTCATACTAAAAATTATTTACAAACGATAGTATTCTGATCATGGATTGTTCCCATATTATTAATTCATGAATTGTTTACATCTTTATGTCATCAGTTGAAAATCATCATCACTATTTAATTACCCATCCATCAACCAAATGAATTAGAACTTTCATTGTAACAATCTTACAAATGGAACCAGCTGCTATGCGCATTCCTCATATGAAGCCGGCTTTATACAGAGCAGCAGCGGCAGGTACACTTGAAGATTACCGTAAGGCCCTGAGGGTGGAAGGAGCTGAGGACTGTCAAGTTGCGCCAAATGGAAATACTGTGCTGCATGTTGCGGTGCTCCACGGCAACAAACATTTTGTAGAGCAAATCCTAGAACAACAAAAGGCTATTGTTGTCGCCTCGTCGTCTATGTTATTTGCTCGGAACAACAAAAATGAAACTGTGTTGCATTGTGCAGCGGAGAAAGGCGACGCCGACATAGTCTCTGCCCTCATTAAAGCCATCAAGGAGTACAATGAGGATCTTGAATCCGGTGTTGGAGTGATAGAGATGATACATATGACGGATGATGTCAAGGACATGGCTTTGCACAAGGCAGTGAGAATGGGGCATTTGGAGGTGGTGAAGTTACTAATTGAAGAGGATAATGGATTTTTGTATCCTACCAATGAATTTGGTGAGACGCCCATTTACTTGGCTGCTGAGTCACATTTTCTTAATTGTTTGGAGGAGATACTCGAGACATGTCAAAATCTTTCTTATGTTGGACCACTCGGTCGAAATGCTCTTCATGCCGCAATATTATCATCAGGTATGTACAAATACTAAAGGCTTATGTACATCTTACATAGTTATATATATATATATATATATATATATATATATATATATATATATATATATATAGTCACTATAGATGGCAAATGGACCCATTCACCCAGTCATATAGTATGATCTGTTGGACTGATTCAAGTTATACTACTATACATAGTAAATCTATGTTGCTTAGTTCGGTTCATGGCTTGGATTAAGTCTAGGGTCCACCTAAGAGTCTAAAATATACAATTCATAATTCATATAGTGACGCGGTTTTATTTCATTTTTTTCTTTTTTTTTGTGTAAGGAAAAAATATTGATGCCATATGTTAGCTATAAGTATATAATATATTTACTACAAATTTATAAAATCAAGAGAATTAGACAACTCCTTGTATACCAAGATTATGTGGTCTAATGGTATTCCGATTGGAATTTCATTTAGAAGGTTGTAAGTTTGAGCCTCAGTGGAGGTGTTATTGGTTCTTTGTGTTTCAACAGGTACATCTAAATGCATATATAATCGTATAGACTCTATTATAAATTAAACCAAAATTTTGCATATTCATATAAATCATGACTTTACATAAACATATATAAATAGTGCTCTCTTTTGAGGGCGGATGATGCACCCAAATATATATATATATATGATGCACCCAAATATATATATATATATATATATATATATATATATATATATATATATATATATACATTTAAAATTTTGTATGCATCTCGCATCATTTAAAAAAAATATTATGTCATACTCATAAATGCATGAATTTCAATAAAAGTTTTTTTTTTTTTTTTTTTTTTTTTTTTTTTTGCACATGATAGGTAGCGAATGGGAAATCTTGAAGCATCTTTTCCAAAGTCATGTGGCTTTACCAGGTAACATCATCTGTTAATGCTTTATTATAATCCGACCGTTTTTTTTTTTTTATTTACGTATATATACTAACATTTTGTACACGGGATATACAAAAATTTATTTTTGATATTAAAATATTAATAATTAAAATTTTTAGTTAAAATTATATTTCACAATTCCTTAAAGTAAAAAATTTTAATTATTTTATTTAATTTTAAAAAAAAAAAGAGAAAAAATTATATTTTGTTTACTAATAATGTTAAAAAATTTGATATAATTTATACTCTAATTTTAAAATAAATAAAATATCTATAATAATAAGCTTCTATTCACATATGTTGATACACACACACACATACGATTTACCATTCATATAAATTTAATTAAAATATAATCTACAATTAAATTAATTATATAATAATTTAATAAAATGATGATTAAAGAATACAAAAAAAAGATATGATATATATATAAATATATATATATATATATATATATATATATATAATGTGTTTAGAAAAAAGAGTTTGCAAAACCCTTTTTGTTCGGTTTGGGGAATTTTAATGAACTTATATTAATATTAGTTACTGGCTCTATTACATTGTAGTATCTGTTCATATACTTTCTCAACCTACTGAAACAAAAAGAACCATTAACGCCTCCAGGCTTGAACTCATAATCTTCCATACTCATAATCTTCCAAATGGAAGTCCAACTCGGATACCATTAGACCACATAAATATATATATATATATATATATATATATATATATATATATATATATATATATTTATATATTTATATATTTATATATTTATATATAACAATATAATTGAAAAGTAATTAAATTTGATTGCATAGTATATTATATTATAAATTTAAAGACTATATCAATTTCAAATACAGACTAAAAATTTTCAAAAAAAAATACAGACTAAAACATTCGTTTTGTTAGTATAATTATCCTTGATAGGTAATATAATAATTTTATTTAAATTAAAGACTAAAACATTCGTTTTGTTAGTATAATTATCCTTGATAGGTAATATAATAATTTTATTTAAATTAAAAACTCTTTTGTGATATATCATATATTTTTGTAGATCTTATATAATTTTATGTATTGTGATTGAAAAAAATAAATAAATTTTGTTGCATTATAAATTTAAAAAATAAACTCAATTGTTCACTATAAAATATAATATTAAAAGAAAAATGGTAATACACTACCCTAAAGAAATTCAAAAAAAAAAAAAAAAAAAAAAAAAAAAAAAAAAAAAAAAAAAAAAAAAAACTAAATTTTGTTTAGGGCAGCTTACTAGAAGAAAAGCGCTATCCCAATCAATATCCTATGTAGGGAAGATTCAAATTAAAATGAAAAACTAAATTGTAGAATTTAATTAGGGAATGAGTTTACACAATTCAATCATAAAAGTTGGTCACTTTTTGAATACCAATGAACTTTTGAAGAATATTTAAAAGTTTGAATTAAATATCATTTGACATTTAAAGACTTTTTAAAATTTTGAATCAAATATCAAAAATAATTTATAGAATAGAGGGGAAGAGTTTACACTATTGTGAAATAGTTTATAAAAGTTGGTCACTTTTATAATACCAATAAACTTTGAAAGAATATTTAAAAGTTTGAATTAAATACCATATATTTAAAAAAAAATTTAAAAATCTTGATCGAATATCAACCACTTTTAAATACTTTGTAAAAGTTTAAATCTAATGCCATGAAACTTCTAAATTTGTAAATGTGTAGATTGAATACACCTCATTATTACAATTAAAACCAATCCATTTGAGTTTTGAAAATTAATTGAAAGGTATTAGAAAAATACCTCCACTATCTCATTTTATATGTTGGTTCAATTGATAAGGCTTGACTGAAGTTATTTACACATCAATTTTTCATAATATTACTTTGAATATTAGTATATAAAATTTATATATTTAGAAACTACATTAAAATTACTATGAAACAAAAAAAAAATCAAAAAAAAATCAAAAAAAAAATCAAAATTAAGAATTATAAAATAATTTTAAAAAAAAAATAAACAAAGAGGAAAGAGTTAGTTTAACCAATAAACTTTAGTACATTGTAGCGTGCAATGTACTAGAGGCTTATGTACACCTTACATACTCACTATCAAAGGTTCATGATTTAATACTCAATTTGATGAGAATATATTTTCTGTGAATTGATCAAGAGCAGCGGATACAGAGTATATAAAGACATGAAATAGAGATCTAGTCTAATACTACTAGTAGAGTCCTAATACTCCCCCTCACGCACAAGGTTGGTCAGCTATAACATTGAGCTTGCAACGGAGTAAATTAAAACGCACAGACGAAAGAGACTTAGTAAAAATATCCGCTATCTGATATTTGGTAGAAATAAAATTGACATGTAATTCCTTCTTTGCGACTTTATCACGAACAAAGTGGTAGTCGATCTGAATGTGCTTGGTGCGAGCATGAAACACCGAATTAGCACACAGATAAGTAGCTCCCAGATTGTCACACCAGAGTTTTGGCAAAGAAGGTGGCGCAAACCCGATTTCCTTCATCAGAGAGACGAGTCAAGTAACCTCTGCAGAGACATCAGCCAGTCCTTTGTATTCAGCCTTAGTTGATGAACGAGCCACAGTACGCTGTTTTCGACAAACCCATGAGACAAGATTGGTCCCCAAAAACACAACAAAACCACTAGTAGATTTGCGATCATCAGGATTGCCAGCCCAATCCGAATCAGAATATACATGAATATCCAAAGAAGGAGAATAAGCAATCTTAAGACCAAGATGTAGTGTCTCATTTACATACCGTAACACCCTCTTGAGAGCCGGCCAATCCGCAGTAGAGGGAGAGTGCATGTGCTGACACAAACGATTGACTGCATAGGAAAGATCAGGCCGAGTTACCGTAAGATATTGCATAGCACATGCAAAGCTGCGATACTTAGTGGGATCAGCGTATGGTACCACGGCATCAGTCTCGGCCTTCATGGTTGAAACCGGAGTGGCCACGGGCTTGCAATCAACCATACCTGCTCGTTTTAGAATATCCTTCATGTACCATTGTTGAGACAGAAGCATGCCATTAGACAACGGAACGGTCTCAATACCCAGAAAAAACGAGGGCACACTCATGTCACGAACTTTAAACTCAAGAGCCAACTTGTCAATAAGAGCAGTCACATGAGCCGAATCAGAACCCATAACCAAAATATCATCCACATAAACTAGAAAATATAGACGAGTATTGCCATGTGAATATATAAATAAAGAGACATCCGTCTTTGAAGGTGAGAAACCAACAGAAACCAGAAAATCATGCAAACGAGTGAACCAAGCACGGGGAGCTTGCTTAAGCCCATATAAAGAACGTTGAAGGAGACAAACGTGCCCAGTCAGCATTTTGTCTTCATAGCCAGGGGGCTGGCACATATAAACCGTCTCAGCGAGATTGCCATTTAGGAAAGCATTGTGTATGTCCAACTGTCGAATAGCCCATCCACGAGAAATAGCTAGGGATAAAAGAAGACGTACCGTAGTCGGTTTAACCACGGGACTAAAGGTCTCAAAGAAATCCTCACCAGCAACCTGATTGAATCCCTTGGCAACCAAATGAGTCTTGTAACGCTCAATCGAACCATCAACTTTCCTCTTGGTTCTAAACACCCATTTACACCCAACTACATTTATACCTGATTTAAAAGGAACAAGCCGCCATGAATTGTTGTGCACCAAGGCATTAAATTCCAAATCCATTGCATCCCGCCATTCGGGAAATTTGACCGCTTGAGTAAAACATGTACGCTCAGTAGTGACGTCAGTAGATAGAGCAACATGGTTATGCGGCCCCGAGCTCCGCGTATTCGTCATATGAGACCGAACAGGATCGGGCGCGGGACAGGATCAACCACGGGGTCGGCCCCTTGGCCGAGCAGGCGGCTGGTCCGTGACTGTCCGCTCGGACTCGGTCACGGACGGCTCGGTAGAGACGGGCTGCTGGCGGTGTGGCTCGGGTCTGGTTACGGGCACTGCAGGAGGATCAAAGGCCGAGACTGCACTCGGCTCACCAGGAGGCACAATCGGCGCAACACCCCATGGCTCCGGGCGTGGTGCGGGTACTTGTGAATCAACAGAAGCAACAAAAGGAAAGACAGTCTCATCGAATCGCACATGGCGACAGATAAAAACCTTGTTAGTGTTAGTGTCTAAACAACGATAGCCACAAAAAGATGGAGGATATCCTAGAAAGACACAAGGAGACGACCGAAACTGCAGTTTGTTGCGATTATAGGACCGCAGATTAGAAAAACACAGACACCCAAAAACCCGTAAGTATGAGTAAGAGGGCGGAGACCGATGCAAGAAATAGTGAGGAGACTTATCAGACAAGACACGAGTGTGCAATTTATTGATAAGATACACAGCAGTTTCGAATGCATAATCCCAGAAACGAGACGGAACAGAGGATTGGGCTATTAACGCCAGTCCTGTTTTGACAACATGACGATGCTTGCGTTCTACTCTGCCATTTTGTTCATGAGTATACGCACAGGACTGCCTGTGACGAATACCCAATAACGCGAGAGTCGAACCACGCTTTTTGTATTCTCCCCCTAAATCAGACTGAAAAGACAAAATTTTACGAGAGAAGGAACGTTCAACAAGTGACCGAAACTTATCAAATATCGCATATAAATCAGACTTAGCTCGCATAGGATAATACCACACGTAACGAATGTAATCATCCACAAATAATACAAAATATTTAAAGCCATTTGCAGAAAGTATCGGCGTAGGGCCCCAAATATCTTAATATATTAATTCTAAAGGATGCGAACTAGTACATTCAACACGCGATAAAGGAAAATGAGACGACTTGCGTAATTGACAAGAGGAACAAATGTTGGGCAGATCACTGGAATTAAACGAACTAAGACTAGAAGATGCTAAAACTTGACGCAGGACCCGAGAGTGTGGATGCCCAAGCCGCATATGCCAAACGAAAGAGGACCGTGCAGCAACGAAAGCAGCGGGAGCCGGACGCGAGGCAGACCAGACATATAAACCCCGGACGCATGCCCCTTAAAAAGAGTGTTCCTGGTTTGAATGTCTTTCACAAAGAAACACGAAGGGTGAAACTAAAAAAAAAAAAAAAAAACATTATTTTCTTTAGCAAAACGCTGAAAAGATAATAACGAAGAAGATAAACCCGGAACATGCAAAACATCAGACATACGAAACGACCTAGAATTAGTGGCTAACGAAGAAGAACCAACAGTAACAATAGGCAAACTTGTACCATTGCCGACCTGAAGTGTCTCCGGACCATCATATGTGGTAGAGGACGTCAATAAGGTGGGATCAGGGGTAGCATGATTTGTGGCACCAGTGTCGGGGAACCACTGATGAGAGTCGTCCGTAGGACCATCAACACCAGAAACGACAACATTCGCCTGAGGATCTGGATCAGGAGTGAAACGACGCCAACACGCCGTAGCTATATGCCCTTACTTGTTGCAAATCTGACACTGAGGGCCTGAGTTGGACCGCCCCCCGACCACGACCACCGCGCCCCCTGCCGCGGCCGCCACCACCTCGGTTTTGTAGACTGCCACCGCGGCCACCATGACCCCCATGGCTTACAGCCAAGGCCGCCAGTGCGTCGAGAACCGCGCCGTCATCCGAGCAGTTCCACTCCTACGAAACAAGAAAATCTGCAACCTCCGGGAGGGGAACGGGAGCACCACGGGTTAGGGTTGCCACCAACGGTCGTAACTCCGGGCACAAACCACAAAACACGTACAGATTCTGATCATCCAACTCAACGTGACGACCGGCGAGAGCCAGTTCATCAATCAACATTTGAGCGTGACCAAGGTAATCAGATAGGGAGGAGTCACCTTGGCGGAGCCCTTGTAGTTCGCCACGTAGCTGGAGAGCGAGTGGACGATCCTAGGGTTTGTTCGATCACCTGCCAAAGTTGCCGAGAAGTACCCTTGCCGACGGCGAAACGAAGGGTCTCCTCGGACAAGGAAGAGATGAGCATGGAGAGGATGGCTTTGTCTTGCCGACGCCATGCGAGCTCCCGCGCCGGGAGATCGGAAGCCACCGCCAGAACGCTGTCCGCAGTCGATGCCAGCGCCGGTGACTCTGTCAGAAAGGGCATAGTACCATCAACAAACCCTAGAAACCCTTGGCCTTCAAGAAACAGAAGCATCTGAGTCCACCAGAACAGATAGTTCTGGGAGGTCAACTTTAAGGAAACGAGGTGGTGAGCCGATGAAAGGCTACCATTCGCAAGCACCGAAGAAATCTCGGTAACGGTCCGTTCAGAGGAACCAAGAACAGAGCCGTTATTAACACCGAAGTTTTCCATGGGAAAACCTAGCTGATACCAGATGAGAATATATTTTATGTGAATTGATCAAGAGCAGCGGATACAGAGTATATAAAGACATGAAATAGAGATCTAGTCTAATACTACTAATATAATAAAGATCTAGTCTAATACTACTAGTAGAGTCCTAATAAATTTAGTCCTCAAATATAGTGATTTTTTTTATTTAGTCCTAAACGACTTTTTGTGTTTAATTATGTTTGTTTTACCCAATTGAGCCCTATGTTAAGATAGCTTGGTAATTCACATCTATTAATACTCAATTCAGTTCTCGATTATAATAGTTTGGCTAGTCTTCGAATATAGTGGTTTTACCTAATTTAGTCATCGACTATAGTGGTTTTTACCTAATTTAGTCATCGACTATAGTAGTTTAATTTTTTATTGATTTAGTCCTTGATTCTAGTAGCCGAGGACCCAATAGGATAAAACCATCGAAGTCGAGGATCTAATTAATCACAAAAATTCATTTAGAACTAAATTGAGAAAAATCATTATAGTCAATGACTAAATTGAGTATTAACTTGAAGGTTGATATATCCCATCATAAACTATGATTGGTTGGGCTAATTCAGGGGCAAATTATTGTGTGAATCATGGTCCACAGAGTGCTGTGTGGACCATATCAAAAAGTATATTTTTTAATATACTAAATGTTCATAATTTGTGTACTGAATGTACATTATATAATATAATGTACACTCAGTACACAAATAATGTATATTCCCTGAATATAATGTACATTTTTAATATACTAAAAATACATTATTTTTGTATTGCATGTATATTATTTTACAGTATATAAAATATGGTCCATACAACTATGGACCTGATTGTAATTCAGGTTACTATGCATAGTAAATCTATGTTGCTTAGTTCGGTTCACGGTCTGGATTAAATTGTAAACAATCATTATATCATGTATCTTAATCCAAAACAATGTTATTTCATAAGTTAATACAAATAATTCCTTTATTGTCATCATTTTTCCAAGAAAATTAAAAACAAGGTTAGTACCGTAGATACATAATATGTTAACTGCATATATATAATCTATTAACTACAAAGTTATAAAATCAACAAGCTAAGATGGATTTGGTCCAGGATATAATGATTGATTTGCTGTTGGAAAAAATAGCATAAAATAACATTTTAAGTGGCTATTTTGTGGTACAAATATATGTGTGGTCCACTTTCGATTTCGGTCGGGTTTAAGTGGATTCGAGCTCTTCGTAGTGTGGCGAAGAGATCCATATTGGCAATTTATATCATGCACCAGGGCGCGCATTGCATTGTGCGCCCTGATGCAAAACAACGTCGTTTTACATAACTGTATAAAAAATACACATAATTGTATAAATAAATACACATAATTGTATAAACAAACACACATAACTGTATAAAAAAAAATACACATAATTGTATAAACAAATACACATCCGCGCCTCCCAAAACGATGTCGTTTTGGGAGGCGCGGGGCGCACAGTGCTGCGCGCGCCGTGGTGCAGGGTATAACGATTGATCGATATATTGTATGCTCAAAATGAATAATGGGTGAACGAGAAATTAATTCTCAAAGTAGACCCATTTGAGTTTGAAAATGAAGGTGAAAAGACTTGGAAGAAGCACTTGTCTAACATTGGTTTGAAAAGTGGATTTGCACCACGTACTATATAAGACTCTTATATAATGAGTTTGAATTATATAACATAGAGGCTCACTCTCATGCACCTCTATAACTTTCTACTTTATAGTCGCTTATTGTTTGAGTGCTCAACCATAAGTCGAAGTTTGTAATATATCTCTAACATTTGCCACATTTAAATGCATGTATAGTCATATAGACTATTATAAAGAGACTATGCCTTTTTTTTAGTGATTCACTCGATAATATTCACACATTGAAATATATTTATATTTAAAATAATAATATCTTTTCTCCTAAAAAATAATATTTTTTACCTAAATTTTGTACCCAAAATTTTGCATATTGACATAAATTATGACTTTACATAAGCATATTTAGATTTACATGTGAAATTTTGTATGCACATTTCGATAATTAAAAATAAGAGTTTGTACACATGATAGGTAGCGCATCGTCATTCTGGGAAATGCTGATGCAAATTTTCAGACGTCATGTGGGTAAAGCAGGTAACATCATCTATTAATGCTTTATTGTAACCTTTTTTTTTTTTTTTTTTGAAAGCGTGCTTTATTATAACCTCTTTTTTTTTTTAAAGATAAGTGGTAATTTCATTAGAAATAAGTCGCAATAATATCAGGAGGGATTAAATCTCAATACATAGTAGTATGATGTTGGAAAGCTGTAGATGCTAAGGTATGTGCTAAATAATTGTTCGATCTAGGAACAAAATTAAACAAACAAAAACCAAACGAAGTTGCAGCTGCCCGACAGCTATTGATAGCATAGCCAACGTACGAACGGAGCATAGATGGTGGCGAAGTGAGATAATGTTGTAGAGTGAGGCAATCCGTATAAAGCTTTACAGACTCCTCTCCCCAATTCTTTAACCATGACAAAACTTCCTTGCATGCAATTGCCTTGGCCATGAGCAGTGAGAAACAATCCTGAAGGGGTGTACTGAATATAATGCTGCAACATATCCCCCGTTTGCATCGAGGAGGACTGCACCTGCCGTTGCCTTGCCCGTCTCGTGGAGGTAACCAGCATAGAAGCGGCAAATCCTCGACTGAGGGGCGGCTAACGCGGCTGCTATGGTGACGGACTGTCCATGCAGTACCGACAGTGCATCGGCTGGGGCGGCAGGATGGTCGGCCGGCGTCCTCGCGACGGTGGTGTGGCGGGTTCGCTGCCATGCTTGCACGATTGCGGTAGCTGCCGCAATCAAACTCCTCGGGCGTGGAAGGTAGGCATCCCACACCGCTCTATTTCGTGCTCACCATATGTGGTATAGAATCGCTGTTGCATATAATATTCCATTAGAGTCAAGAACATTTAGAAGATCTCCAAACCAAACATGAAAAATATTTGTCACACTATTGGGTATTGGAAGGTTGGATAATCCCCAAATGGCCTTTGCATAATCACACATCACCAAAGCATGCATAGTGTTTTCTTGAGATATTCCGCACATAACACAATTTGGTTCCACGTCCACTCTCTTTATAAGCAAATTTGTAGTGGTGGGGAGAATATCACTAATAGCTCTCCAAAGGAATGTCTTCCACTTGGGGGGATTTTGAGTTTCCATAGAGTAAGCCATTTATTGAAAGCCTCATCCCTATCTTCATAATTTCCAACAATACGTCTATAACCACTTTTTAGTGAATATATTCCTTTCTGGTCTTCGTGCCAATACCAAGTATCATCATAATCAGGGGAGATAGGTATTTTCATAATATTTGTGACATCGATAGGTTAGAATAAATCAGTTAATATGGAATGATCCCATGAACCAGTTTCTTGATCAATCAAACCTACCACCTTGGCACCTACCAGTTGCATAGGCATCTCTGTCTGTATCATAAGTTCCTGGTCATCCTGTATCCTCGGATGATCCCATATCAGCGTAGTCTCTCCATTTCCAATCTTGCGTCTCACACCACTACAGATTAAACCTTTAGCTGTCATTATACTACGCCAACAGAAACTGGGGTTATTTCCTATATGTGCATCAAAAAATAAATCTTTGGGATAATACCTTGCTTTATAAACTCGGGCTACCAGTGATTCAGACTTAGTAAGCATTCACCATGCCTGTTTACCTAACATAGCTAGGTTAAAGGCACGCAGCTCCTTGAAACCCAGGCCTCTATGTTTCTTTGGGATACATAATTTGTCTCAACCCTTCCAGTGTATTCCATGGTCAGTACCCAATCCCCACCAGTAGCGGTTCATGGTTTGCTCAATAGCTGTGCTGACAGATATAGGCAACAGAAAGACACTCATTGAAAATGTAGGCATAGATTGTGCTACACTTTTCAATAAAATCTCCTTGCCTGCCTGTGATAAAAAAATTTTTACTCCATAATCCAATTCTCTGCCTAATCTTATCCTCAATATACGAGAAAACCGCCTTTTTATTTCTCCCCACAAATGATGGGAACCCCAAATATTTTCCAAAGTTAGGTGCCTGTACCACCCCCAGAATTTGAGCCACCTCCATTCTATCCATTACACCTGTATTTCTGCTATAGCATACACTTGACTTGTGATAATTAACCACCTGCCCATACATTTTTCATATACAGATAAACAATCCTTTATTTTACCAGCCTCTTTGTGCATTGGCATTAAAAAATAACAGACTATCATTTGCAAAAAACAAGTGAGAGATGGGGGGCTCCCCTTGCCACCCTGCAACCATGTATAGAACCATCATTTTGTGCTTGCTGCAATAACAGAGAAAGACCCTCCGCACAGATAATGAAGAGATAAGGGGACAGAGGATCTCCTTGCCTCAAGCCACGAGTAGGTAACACTGGGGTGCTGCGTGCGCCATTTATCATAAAAATGTATTAGCACAAAAACATATTATATTATAACTTTAAAGACAATTAATTTCAAATACGGATTAAAACATTCGTTTTGTTAGTATAATTATCATTGATAGGCTATACTATAATTTTCTTTAAAATCTTGTATAATATATCATATATAATAGTATGTATAGATCTTATATAAATTTATGTATTGTAATTGAAAAATTATTTTAACTTGGTTGCACAAAAATCAATGTATTATAAATTTAAGGATAATCCATCTTTTCACTAAACGATATGATGGTCCTGATGCCGAAGAATGAGAGTTTAGAGGGGGTGAATAGACTATGCGAATTTTGAAACTTTACTTGAAAGATTAATGCACAACGGGAATTATATGTTCTTTTTAATATTCTTTGCACACTTTCGTAGTTTCGTTAGAAATTGTTTAACTGAGATGAATATGTATGCAATGCAAGGCGGTTAAATGAAGATAAGTAACGAGAGAGAGATAGAGAGATTTTTATAGTGGTTCAGCTATTAACTAAGTCTACTCCACTCTTATTTCACAACCCGTGAAAGGGTTTGCACTATCACTCATAGTACAAACTAAGTGATGAAGAGGGGTATTTATAGGGGTGAAAAATCCATATGTTAGAGGGAGATGAAAATTTCAAACCTATTAACTAGTGTGTATTGACTGCTGGGTAAGGAGTCTTAAATGCGGCTTGTACTATATAGCCGTTGGCTTCAAAAAGTAACCAACATTTTTGTCCCGTAACGAAAACAAAAGGTACTAATCATTAAATACTCCTCGATATTTGAAATATCATTCCTAGAACACCATTTGTCTAGGTTGATTTTCCCAGCTTTGAGACTTGGACAATTATGCTTCTGAAAACATGTGAAACTTGTCCAATCGAGTTAGACCTTGACTCGTAATCTCGGGATCTGGTAACGAAGGATTGTCCTTATCATTCGTTGTCTTCTCAATTCAAATGATCTTTCTTTATCATTTGTCAATTACACGAGAGATAGACCCTTCCAAGTTTCAGTCTTGGAGGATCTCTCGGCCTTCTCTTGATCTTCTCTTCTCTTTAACCTCTCATGATTGATTGAGGGATGCTCTGATTCGTGTATACACTCAGCTGAGCACGAATCATTCTTTGAGCAAAAGCAACTTTCGTTCAACACGAAAGATACAAAATAAAGAGATAAAAAGATGAGTTTAAATTCCTAGTGAGTTTGGTATCATTAAAATCTAATTACACATGTTCCTAACATGATATAATATTACAAGATAAATTGTAATATAACACTTATAAACAAGAAAAGAATATTGAACTGTGTCATTAGTAGCTAACTCGATTGAAGAGTTTTCCCTATTCGTGTCCTGAGTTGGGAAGATTTAAACGATAATGAAGAAAAAAGTTCTTAGAGTTTAGAAGAACAATAATAAAGGTTTTAAAAGTAAGATAATGAAGAAGAAACAATTTGTACAATTTAAACTGAATATCTATAGAGTTTAAATAGAAGAAAAAGTATATAGAGTTTAAAAGTTTCAAATAAGAATTTCAACTATTTATATTTTATCGAGAGAAAAACTATACACGAGTCCTATATGTGATAGATTTTTTTAGTGCTATACTTTGCCAACACTCCCACTAGGATTTGAACTAGTGTCATCCCATTTGGAAAAGCTACAAAGATGCCATTGAGCTATAAGCTAGCTACTTGGCCTTAATGTTAAATATATAAATGTCCATAATTTTTTGAAGAAAAATACTACTCATACTCCCAATTTTTTAATGAAATATCACCCGACTTGCCCGCATGGGCAACTCAGTTGATTTCTTAGTGGTAGATTGTGGGTAACGACACAAGATTGAGCCTTGACAGTCGCAGTGTGGAGTTAAACCTAATGTGTTAGGCTCCTTGTGCATGGTATCAAGAACTGGTCCTTTGGTCTTCTCACATAATGAGCTATTGAGTTGCTATGATTTTCCAATTGTTATATCGTGGACCAGGGTCTACAGTGCATTGTGGACCCGATCAAATATACATAATTTGATTTCATAATGTACAAAATTCATGTTCATAATGCACATAGTTTATGTTCATAATACACATACACATAAATATGATATAATGAACATGAATTATGTGCATTATGAACATCAATTCTATACATTATGAAATCAAATTATATGTATTATCTTAAGTGTTTATGTGTGTTCATTACATCATGTTTATGTATATATATATATATATATATATATATATATATATATATATATATATATATATATGTGTGTGTGTGTGTGTGTGTGTGTGTGTGTGTGTGTGTGTTATGAACATAAATTCTGTATATTATGAACATGAATTATGTACATTATGAAGTCAAATTACGTGCATTGGACCATTGTGGACCCTGGTCTACGATATAAATTGTTATGATTTACCCCTCCTTCACTATCCTGTTGGGTCGGGGTATATATATGGGGCCGTTTGGAGCAAAAAAAAATTGTCTTATGTGGGCAAATATATCACTCAACTTTTAAAGATTTCTTAAAATTATAAATCTTATATCTTCACATTTTTAAATGTCATAAAATTCTAGATTAAATACACCCCTAATCATAATTAAAACAAATTCATCAAAAGTTTAGAAACATAATTAAAAGGTATATGAAAAATACTCTATCTGTCTTATTTTATATGTTTAGTTTTAATTAATGGGGTTTCACACTTAGGTGCGAATGCTTCGCCCAGGCGCAAAATATGAATGAATTCTGTTCGTCCACGTGTCCAGATCTAATGGATGAGAAACACTGATTTTAAAAAAAAATGCGGTGGCATTTTCGTAATAATTGAACATCGAAGTGCAAGTAAAATGTATTACAAGTGCATGTAAAATGTATTATAGGTGCAAGTAAAAATTTACACTGAGCATCAATACTTAGTTGCACCTATAGTTCTAAGTAGTTGCACATATAGTTCTAAGTAGTTGCACACATAGTTATAAGTAGTTGCACCTAGGTGTATGAATGTTTGCGAGTGATTTTCAGGGGTATTACTACCCGCTGAACTCAGATCAATGAATGTTAACAAGGCAAAATTACATGCACTTATAGGTGAAAGTAGGTGCACCTATAGTTATAAGTAGTTGCACCTATAGTTATAAATAGTTGCACATATAGTTATAAGCACACCCAGGTGCATGAATGTTTGCGGAAAGTGAATGTAACAAGGCAAAATTACATGCACTTATAGGTGAAAGTAGGTGCACTTGTAAGTTATTTTACTTGCACTTCGATGTTCAATTATTTACGAAAATGCCACCGCATTTTTTTTTAAGTTATTAGATCTGGACACGTGTCGCGCGCTGATTCGTTCGCATTTCCCTCATGAGCACTTATTCGCACCTGAGTGCATCCCTATCTAAACTTATGTAAATTTTAATTTTTTTTTATAATATTAAGTTTAGTATTAGTATATAAACTTTATATCTTTGGAAATTATATTAAAAGAATGATAAAATGCAAAACAAACCAAAATTTAAAATTATAAGGAAATCTTACAAAAACTAAATAATGAAAAAGGAATGATTTGATTAGTAAATAATAAACCTGGAAAGTAATATGTGATAGATAAAATAATGAATATATATATATATATATATATATATATATATATATATATATATATATAATAATTTTTTTAAAAGGCCCCAAAAGTTTGGGGGCTTTGTGTAACGGCATGGCAAATTTTTGTGTGGATCACGGTCCAAAATGAAGTCATTTTGATGTTAAAAATTTTCTTGTTTCACACCTATATTAAAATAATGAAAATTTTGAGATAAGATAATGTATTTTATGAGTTAGAATAATGTATTTTATGTGTTAAAGTAATGTCCTTTATGTATTAGAGTAATGAAATTTCTAAGATAAGATAATTTATTTTATGAGTTAGAATAATGTACATTATGTGTTAGAATAATGTATTTTATGAGTTATAATAATGTATAATGTACTTTACGTGTTAGAATAATGAAATTTCTAGGATAAGATAATTTATTTTATGAGTTAGAATAATGTACTTTATGTGTTTGAATAATCTATTTTATAAGCTAGAATAATGTACTTTATGAATTAGAATAATATATTTTATGAGTTAGAATAATGTACTTTCTGTGTTTTTAGGCTATGGTCCACGCAATAATGATTGGATGGCCATAGCCAGAGGTCATAGGCAAATTTTACTGTGGACCATGATGCATGTATGGTAGCATTGTGGTCCATGAGGTATGTATCATTTTAATTACACTTCAGTTTCATTTGACAATATTACTTTGTTTTTCAATTTCATTTTCTATACACACTAGTTGCATTATAACAATAACAAAGTATCATTTTAATTCAACTACAGTTTTATTTGACAATATACATTATTGCATGAACTCTATTTTGTAGTTTCATTTTCCACACACACTAGTTTAATTATAGTAAATATTAAAGTAGTACAGAGTATTTTAATTATACTCTAGGTTCATTTGCCAGTATATGTTATTAAATGACTTGAACTTTAGTTTCATTTTTCATACACACTAGTTTCATTATAACAATACTAAAGCATAATTTTAATTATACTACAGTTTCATTTGACAATATACGTTGTTGAATGGCTATGTTTTTTTGTTTCATTTTCCAGACACACTAGTTTGATAATAACAACACTATAATGTTATTTTAATTCTACTACAGTTTCATTTGACAACCATGATCCACAGTACTGTACAACAACTGAGAGGTCAGAACTGGCTCTAAAATATAACATTATAGTACGAAGATTTTAATTTAATTTATGAATTTAAATTCATATTCAAAAATAGTTTTTTTTTTTGAAGAATTTGTAATTGTTTATAAACATACTAAAACGCGACTTGCCTCGGGTAATCAAATGCACAGGTTAAAAATAAAAAATAAAAAATAAAAAAATAAAAAATAAAAATGGCAAATTATACTGTACTAGGATCTATATTGTAGTATAGACCAATAATAAATATTCATTTTTAGTATATTAAAGACTCATTTTTAATGTACTAATTTTTTTTTATAATATACTAAAAAATAAACCTTTTAAAAATGAACATTTAGCATACTAAAAATAAACTTTATTTCAATGGTTCACAGTATAACAATTGTAAAAAAAAAAAAAAAAAAAAAAAAAAAAAAAAAATGAAAGTGGTTTAAGCGAGTTAATTAGTTCTCAAAATCGTCTTTGACTATGTTATACTTTTTTTATTTGGTTTTAATTATTAATTTATCTAAAATGGTCTATTGATTATACAAAAATTACTGAAATTATATTAATTTCTTCTCGTATACTAAATTGAGTAACCAGGATTATGTGGTCTAATGGTACCCGGGTTGAACTTTCATTTGGAAGGTTGTGAGTTTGAGCCTTAGTGGAGGCGTTATTGGTTCTTTGTGTTTTAGTAGGTTGAGAAAGTATATGAACAGATACTACAATGTAATAATGCCAGTAGCATTCAAAAAAAAAATTGAGTAAATTTTTGTATAGTTTTGAGACTATTTTGGATAATTGATAGAGTTAATTAATACTCATAATGGTCCTCGATTATAGTGATCTTTCTCAATTTTGTCCTAAACGATTTTGTTGACATAATATAGTCCAAAACTTTTATGTTTTCACTCAGTTTAGTCTTTCGTTTATTATTCCGTCAAATTGGTGTTAAATAAAGGAACAATTCAGTAATCTCAATATTGGCATTTCTTTACTCTCAGCCCAGCGAAGTGCGAAATCCTCTTTCTTTTACGAATTACTCTCAGACCTGCGAATCAAATTTTATATTCGTAGGTTTGGGAATAATTCGTAAAAGAAATAGTGATTTCGCACTTTTCAGGTCTGGGAGTAAAGAGATGTCAATATTAAAATTACTGAATTGTCCCTCTATTTAACACCGAATGGACAGAATAACAAACGTAGGACTAAATTGAGTAAAAACACAAAAGTCTGGAATTACATTAGGTTACTAAAGCGGTTTAGGACGAAATTAAGTAAAATCATTATAGTCGATGTCCATTTTGGGTATTAACTCATCATAATTGATAGTTGTTGACTATATTGATGAGAATTATGGCATAGTTTAATTGAATGACCATTTAGAATATTATCTCTTTTTAACATGTTAATCTGAACTATACCACTCCTTTTAGTATATACTCCTAATATACCATATACTTGATCCATAATAATCACTAGATTGAATTTATGCAAAAGTAAAATACGATGTCACTATTTATCTCAGGATGCATACAACTATTACTGGATAAGGAGACTTATTTGTGTGAGATGAGTGACAGTTTGGGTTGGACGCCACTACACTATGCTGTAAAACACGGTGATGATCAAACTGTCCAAAAGATCCTTGAGAAGAAAAGTTCTGCAGCATACATTCGTGCAGGCAAAGAAGATGATTGGACGACAATATTTCACATAGCAGCAAGACATGGAAACATTAAAACGATGAAATGCATATCAAATAGCTTACCAGATTGTTGGGTGATGATCAACTGCAAATCCCAAAATGTCCTTCACGAAGCAATACTGAGTGGTAGAGAAAATATGATAAAATATATATTGAAGTATCCCCAAATCGACAACCTTGTTGATCAAAAAGACAAAGATGGTAACACACCGCAGCACCTGTTTGGCATTTCTAGCTTGAGCATTTATAATCATTATTCTATAGTCTCCCGACTTAAGCGGAAGCATTTGGTCTTCAATAAACACCATCAAACTCTACTTGACGTGGCCTCCCAACGCGAAGTCTATTCAGTTTTTAAGCATATCTCTGTAAGTACACTAGCATTACTTTTATTTTACTCTCTCCATATGGGGTCCCGTTAGCGAGACTTCACTGAAGTTATTTTTAAGAGAAAATTGTAATTGATGTCCCTTTATAATATGTCAATTATCAATGTCACTCCTGAATTATTATTGGTATAAATGTTGTCCCTCAATTTTTAAAATGGTACATATATTGTCCCTCCCGTACCCCCTCCGTACCGTACAGGAGGAAAGGTGAGGAGCAACATTTACATTACTAATAATTCAGGAGTGACATATATTGATAATTGGCATATTATACAGTTTTTCCTCATTTAATTTACCGCACGCCGGCTAAACCAAACCATCATCAGATTGTAGTTTTTCATAATAATTTTGGTATTTTTATACGTACAACAGGGCGGATTACCTCAGCGGAGTGGTTGGAGAATTGGACCTCGTGCTGACCTCATACAAAATCAGGAAACAAGGGAAGAAGATACTGATAATGTAGACAAAGAGATTAATGATATGCTACGAGTGAGTAAAACAATGACTTTGGTGGCTACATTGATATTAACCATAAGCTTTGCAGCTGGTTTTACAGTTCCAGGTGGATACGACTCCAAAAATGGGTACCCAATACTGATAGGAAATAAGGGTTTTTCCTATTTTGTTATATCTGATACTGTGGCTTTCATATGTTCTATTTTGGCGATATTAATTTACATGTTCATGGTGGCAATAGCCCTGTTGGGTTCTATTAGGAGGAAACCAATTTTAATCAGGCTTTTCATACTCAACACTTTCATGACTTTCGTTGCCACAATAGCAGTCGTATATGCATTCCTTGGTGGAATGTACACCATTTTAGCAACTTACAATATGTTTCTCGCCGGTTCGGTTCCACTCATCGTCTTCAGTATGGTCCTTCTTCTTGCTTTTCTCTATTATTCCATGAAAAATACTTTCTTCCTCATTTCAACTTCATCTCTAATCTTTTTCCTCTTTCTCGAGCTTTCGAGTGGTTTCCTTCACTATTTTTACAACTCTAAAACCACTAAATAAAATTCATTCTCCCCCTCCTGTGTTATTGTGAAGCTACCTACCTTTAATTTTATACTTCCTCAGGCACTAGGAGTCTTTGTATTCTTATAAATACATTTCTTCTTCAACTTTGTAAATTGGATTGTTCAATCTTTGTATTCTTATAAATACATTTATTCTTCAACTTTGTAAATTGGATTGTTCAATAATAAAATTTTTGTTCTCATATGGTATCTTAAACATATTCATTGCTGCTAAATCACAAATTTGGTGTAGTACAATTAGGTGCTACTATGTCATGAGGCAGTGTTGCAAAAATCGCACCTAGGCGCCCGCCTCGATTAGGCGCTAGGCGATCGGCCACCTAGACGCCGATTAATCACTCTAGGCGGTCCCCAGGCACCTAGCGATTTTTTCAACCTTGGTCATGAGAGATGAATTGGATAGAAAAAAATATTAAGACTCTGTATCATTACTCTTTACCTATTTTGAATTCTGAATTCTTTTTAAAAAGTTGTAGTTTATGTAAATTAGTGAATCTTGAATGCAGGAATTACTTATCTGGTTCCTACTTAATTTTAATTCAATTAATTAACTTAGTTAGGTTCTATGTCAAATAGATAATTAAAGGAATGATAAACAAAAACAAAAATAAATGCAGAAAAAACAAAAAAAAAAAAAACAAAAAATAAAGGAACCAAAAAGATGTTTATGCAGTTCGAAAAACTTCTCCTACGTCTACAGGGCAACTCAACCCAAGTCCACTTCTCCTACGTCTACAGGGCAACTCAACCCAAGTCCAATCCTACTAAATGATCACCAAGATTACAAACACTATTGAACAGATTTATCTATACACACTATGGTCTAATCTTTCACAACAACTCAATCTTCATCATTTTCCTTGAGTTGGTACATGCAAGCCAATGTTTCACTTCAAGCTTCAATAATCATAGACCCGTCTTCAACACCATAATTTCATTCGCCTATCAACCTTTGTATGCTTTTCGAATAAACCTAAAATTAGAAAATGATGGAGTAATAAATCATGTAAGGATTAGTACAACTTTTTCGAGCAATTCATTCTGCAATCCACCTTGAGAAATAATATACGGAGTAGTAATTAGCTTGTAATGAATAGAACAATTTAGCAAAATAATCCACTTCGAAATGTGTCATCCACGCCTTTTTATAGCAAAGAATCGTTGATGCAACAAACCCCATTTTTAGCTGCAATATTTCGAATAATGAGTATCACTCATTTCAAAAATTGCCAGAAGACTTCACTACTTATTTCAAAATCTTGTCTGAAGACTTCATAATCACAACTAACATACACTTTGATATTTTCCCAAATCTCAAATCATCTGATGCAGCATAAGAAAGTAGACCACCATAATAAAATCTTATAATTAATATAACCAATCTAAACTATAAATTGACAAATAATTAGCCAATTAATTATGTGTATCATTTCTACACTTACAGAAATCGCGAGGCTCAAAAATGAATGTAAATAATGTGATGAAGCTAAGGTGCATTAGCACATGTTAAGTGCACATACAATAGTGCTTTCCTACATAGAATGCCAAACTGATATTTGACTACCTTTTTCAGATAGGTAGTACTAGGAGCAATATCATGGCAACATCTCTAAGAGATTGGAACTGTACTAAATCATATGTCCATAAGTTTCAGTTCCCATTTTACCCTGATCTCCTAATATGTCTGATATGAGCTAGTGCTATCTTTTTTTCTTTTGAAACAAGTAGTCAGAGCGTAAATGATAAAAAATGGACCATGGAGGAAACCCAAGTCACACTTTGGCCTTTCTTAGGCTTGTAAGTCTTTTGGGTCATTTTTAATATGTTGTTTTAACAGTAGTAAATTCTTATTTCCAAGTAATTATATTCTTTGGTCTTAATGTCTTCTTCATGACAAGCATAAAAGTAACAAACTCACAAAGTGTCTCTTCAAATAAATAGTCAGAAATAATAAAAATACCTAAGTAAATCGAAGATACACCAAGTAGAGAGGAGAAGTGACCAACCTCGATAATCAACACCTGAGTTCAATTTGACGACCACAGGACGTCCACGAATAGATTTTAGAAAATCAGCTGGTGTTTTAGTGGTTGTTGAGCCTCTATCCCCTGCTGCAGCTCCAATCATCTTGTCTTAGATTTTGCTAATTCTGTACCTAAACCAATATTTAAAATACCAATACAATCGCATATTCGCTTAGAATCCAGTAAAGGCACACAAAACTGTGGCTTCCCCAGCCTGCATTATTTCTAAAATATAAATCCCTTCATAACAACATTTTGAGTACTAGATGCAAGTTGCCATTACTGAAAGTGAATAGAAAAAAATATTACATAGCATACTAGTATAAGACATGCCCCAACTTCTAAAATATAAATCCCTTCCTAACAACTAACATTTGACATGATCGTGATGCTTTCAACAGTAATGGTTCCTGTTGGGCATTGAGCCCTTGAAGGTGTTTCTACTAATCACGAGTTCCAGTTGTTGTAACTACCAATAGTCTCCACAAGAGCATTTTCCATCCTTGAAATGATGGAAACGCTTGTTATCCCTAACAATCAACTCTCTCCCAACAATTCTGGACATGATCTTGATGGCATTATGGCAATCACCACAGACACGTAAGTTCTTGATTATACGCAAAGGTGTTCTAGCTGGGGTACTAATGAGACCATATGCAATGGCTAAGCGCTCGCTATGATATAGCAAGGCCTGCTCCTTCGCCTCTTGATCAATATCATGAAGAACATATCTGGTATCAGGCACATAGGCCTGCTCTTTCATTGCAGCCCTCATCTTCTCTTCATCCTTGTATAGAGTAGGACTACGAAACTCAGCTAGCCTACTTTTTCCCTCTAGCATATTGACTGGCTGCTTCTTTGGAGGAGGTGGAGTAATCTTACTAGGCACATTATCCTCAAGAGGTACCTGACTAGCCCTCCATAATTGCTCAGCACGGTCTTCAAGGTCAATATCTCCATGAATGCGAGCAAAATTCATCAGTGCCTCCCAGACAGCAACTGTGGGCTCAAAAGGAAGTTTTTCAATGAATTCCTCAGCCTCTCTAAGATGCCCACATTTTGCAAGAACACCTAACAGCCCCAAATAATATTCAATCTGAGGTGCAATTCCATAATCAGTCTTCATGGACGCAAAATGTATGAATGCCTCATCTATTGCATCAGCACTAGCACATGCCTCAAAAACAGCCAGAAAAGTTTGACCATTGGGCTGTATCCCCTGCGTCCTCATTTGTTCAAACAATGACAACCCATCATCACCCAATCCATTCAATGCATATCCATTGATCATCAAATGCCAAGTATCTATATTCCTCTCAGGCATGTGATCAAAAACTCTCCGCACATCCATCATGCTCCAACAGTTTGAATACATGTCAATGACCTTATTATTCAACTCAAGATCACTCCTACATTTTGATCTCAAAAAGTAATCATGCACCATTTTTGCATCCTCAAGTTTCCTCGACTTCCCACATGACCCAAAAAGCAAATGGAAACATTGCATGTCTGCAACAACCCCCTTTTCCATAAATTCAATAGCATCCTTCACCTTACCTTGTTGGCACAAGGGCAGTAAATCAGCAGTAGACAAGATATTATCACCAGAGGATTGATCATTCAGTAAATTCCCTTGGTTCTGGGACAGACTATTTGTAGTTCCCTGATATTGATAGCCTCCTTGAGGAAAACTCTGATTAGAATATCCCATATTCTGATATTCTCCTCGGGGAGAACTCTGATGAGCATATCCCTGATCCTGATATCCTCCTTGGGTATAACCCTGATTAGCATATCCCTGATTCCGATAACCCTCTTGCGGAGAACTCACATATCCTCCTCGGTGAGAACCCGGATTAGGGTAACCTTGGTTATGATTAATAAATTGGTTCACATTCCCAGAATTCGGATGCTGAGCAAAGCCTTGATTTTGAGGACTAGGGCCCTTTACCATTTGATTATTATTATGTCCTGAGTTGGAATACTTGTAATCTGGATGGCCCTGATATTGAGGGCGAGGGAAAGGCTCGTTGGCAACAGCCGGAGATGTGGTGGAGAACGCTCTGAATGAAAGCCGAAAATAAGGGGAGAAATGAAGAGAAGTTAGCACCTTGAGAGAGGACGTAAGACCAGATACTCGTGCCCTGCATATTGCTGCCATTCCTGACGCCATTTTCGGCTTTGGCAATCGGAAAAAGCCCTAGATAACCCCTAGCTCAGTGCTCTCCAGTATGTTGTTGTTTTTTGGACATCCCAAAAACGCAATTAATTGTTAAGTATATCTGCACACAGATCATTCAAATATAAGATATTGCATTTGAAACACTAGAGGAATTTGCCAACCCGTTTCCCGACGGGGATTTGAAATCTCCTGCCATCCCCAACCCCATCCCCACGGGAATTTTTCCCCTTTTTTTATAAAATGAAATTAGATTACAGTAGAAACAATTGATAACCAAAGAAACTGAATGGCAGAGTATGTACTATGTAGCACAATTAACCAAAATCAGGTTGAAGTTGGTGAGGCAAAGAAAAGATTTTTTATATATTAAACAGATAAAATAATAATAATAATAAATTCTTCTTCCATCTATCTACTAAATTTTTAATTCCAAAATTTGTCAAAGCTTTACCCACTCAAATCTTCTCTGATGGGAACCAAGAATCCATTTACTATTGCTCAAACTGGTTATGCATTCTAAAGAGCCAGTATTAACCAATAAAAATTTTCCCCAGCAAAATAATGATTTCAGCAAAGGATAACACTCTCACAACCACAAAATCAAGCACATAATGAACCAAAAAGAATTGTGAAAATGTGAAATTAAAGAAACTAAAGAGCATATATGAATGAAATTGATAAGGGGATAGTCATTACTTGTGGAGACGAAGAAGAGATAGGCGGAGCAGAGATGGCCCAGGACGGCGAGTGGCGACGAAGATTCGACGTAGCAGAGATGGGCGGACGCCGTGGACGGCCAACGGCGAGGCTAGAGATGGCGGGCGGCAACGGCGAGAGGAGACCGGCAGAGGAAGTTGCGCAAATGGCAGAGGCACAGAGGAGACCGGCGACGAGAATGAACTAGGTTTTGAGAGTGAAATTATTTAGTATTGATTTTGACTAGTTTAAATTTTTATATTTAAATATTTTATATATTTAGGGAATAGATCATGTGGAAAGAAGCTCCCAAATGAAAAATGAAGTGAGCTTCTTGATCAAATCTATATCATCGAACTCAAATTAATAAAAATTATTTTAAAATAAAAAACGCACTTCATTCTGCATTGTTTCAAACTAATGCATCTTTAAGATATAAAACTACGCAACTTAAGTTATAAAATTACGCATCTTAAGCTATAAAACTATGCACAACTGATGCCCCTTAAACTAGAAAAGTGACGCACCTTCAACTTTAAACATATGCTATTTAAACAATAATACTATGCAACTTAACCTTTAAAACTTAAGCACCGTAAGTTTTAAACTGACTAGAAAGTGACGTACCATAACCTTAAAACGTAAGCACCTTAAGTTTTAAATTGATGCACCTTAAACTAGACGTGTGACACACCTTAAGCACAGAAATATACGCACCTTAAATTATAAAAATACGCACCTTAAGCATAGAAAATATGCACATTAACTTTGAACAATACACAAAATAACCAAATTGTCACTGATTTTTTAATATGTTTTCAGCCTGGACGTTGATTTTGACAAGATCAATGGCTAACAATAAACCATATTTTCCACCTAAAGCTTTCGTCACACCTAATCTCACTCACAGTACACACACACACACATACCGAGGATTGACGATGGGGTGAGGATTGAGTTCAGGGTCGGGGTGGGGATGTCTCCCCGTTCCCGTCCCCGTCCTCAACGATGATGAGAAAATTTTCTCCATCTCCATTCTCGTTTCCTGAAAAAATTCTCTGAATTTGCCCCAAAGGGGTGGTGATCGATTTTTTCCGCTAAGGTCGAATTGAATTTTCATCTCTTACAATGAGTGAGCGTGGCAGAGAGGAATCGGAGATGGGTGCTAGACTGTTAGGTGGTCTTAACATATATTGCAGTAATATTTTGTTAAAATTTTGTTTTTTTAATAGCATAAAGATTGTTATTTTACATTTAGTTTAGATTTTAAAAAATAATTATTTTGTAATAATATGTGATTAAATTATTATTTGACTAATCTTTAAAAGTTTAAATGTAAATAAATACATGATAGAATTTAATTATTCATATTATGTTATATGTTAGAATATATGGCCTCCCATATGTTATATATTTTAATTGCAAATATTTATGTTCATAGTTTTATCGTATCAAATCAACATAATTATTAAATAACAAAATTTTATAAACAATAAACCTTATACTTTCTTATTATATATGAAATTTAATAACATTTAATAATTTTTAATAACATAATATAATTTAAATATTTCAAATATTTAATTTGTGCACCGCACGAATGGCATACTAGTTTCTCACAGTAAGACACATACTTTTTAGTTAAAATATAAAAAATAAAATTATATTTTAACTAAAAGTGTTACACACCTTATGTGAGACAGTCTCACACAAAACTTACTCTTCTTAACCAAGCGTAATATGAGTGTTGTAAGTTGTAATTTGTATGACCATATATGGGTGAGTAGAAAAAGTGTCAACCAAGCAAGTCCAATCCTATCATTTTATAGGTTCGGAACATGTCAAAAATAGAAAAAAAAATTAAAAAAATTGCCCTATTTGAAGTTAACATATATCTTTATATCTAAATTTTAAATCTGCAACATTCTTTACCACCCTATAATGATAAATATCTTTCAATTTAACCAAAAACTAGAACGATAATCACAAAACTTAAAAATTATACCGATTTGTGATTTAACTTCAAACTTTGTAGTTATCAACTCAATTATTCATTCGACTCAATTGGACTTGTCTTCTAAATAATTATAAAGAATCATTTTCATTCTCCCTTTTTTTTGTTATTCCTTGTTACTTTACTTAAAGCCACACACGCACAACATATGTAATTTTTGGAGTCTGCACCTACTCAAAATATGCTCATCGACACAAATTATATTAGAGCTTTAGATAGAACAGTAGTTACCAAGTGATTTGTAGTCCACTGGTATCGGATGGCTCCCTTAGTGGGAGGTGTAAGATTCGAACCTCAGTTGATACAAATAGTGTGTATATGTAGGATATCTCCTTAAAACAAAAAAAAAAAAAAAAAAAAAAAAAAAAAAAAAAAAGATAGAACAGTAGTTATACCCTGGATCAGGGTCCACCGGATTCAAAATACACAATACTTAATATTCACTCACAATTTACATATTTACACACATTGTCACTCTCTGAATGAAATTGCTGCACCTATATGACCAAATTTAATCACATTAACCCCCTATGGATTCACTGTAATTAGTCAACGCAGTATTCACCGCAATTGGTCAAAATGGGTATTAAACATAAGAGGGCCAATTACAGAAGCCCAAATTCAGCATTGAATTTATGCTACGAAGAAGATGATTTACAGAAGCCCAAACTTTGGTAATGAAATTGGGTAGGGGCCGCGCGAACGCAGGCCCCCTCTGCCACAAATTATGACATAGGCTCCACCTATAAGGTAGACCTTAGGTTAACACCCTTCCAAAGTGCAATGGAAGTCATCAACCTAGGCCATGGGCCTTGTTGATCGCCCATTGACCCCGTCCAGGTAAGTATGGAAGCCAATTGCACTCGGCCCATTTTTATAACCCACCACTCCTCTCCCCCTTTTGTTCTTCTGTCGATGTGGGAACATCTTCAATACGCAAACTACTACTCCTTCTTAAGCAGTTTTTTTCTTTTCTTCTTGTTCATCTCATCATCTGTTCTTTTCTTTTTCTTTTTTTTTTTAATTCTTACAAAATCTAAATTCCTTGTTTTGCAAATTACATATTAACATTAACAGCTTAATCCTTGTATTCTCAGAAAGAGGGATTCTGCTAGCAATAGTTATGTAAATTAAACATCAGATCTGAAGCCTATTCTCAATATTCTGTGTATATCAACATGAACATATATATTCATCACTCCAGATTCTATCAGCTACTTGTATATATTGATGGTTTTATCCACTGCACTGATGATTCAGCTACAATTCTACAAATTAAAGGCAACATTACATGTAGAAGAAGGACTGGTATGCAATTGGGACAGAAATCTCCTCCTGATTTGTAATGCCATCCAAATGACCTTTTCATGTCACCCTTTTCTACCAATTGGATAATATTCAAAATAGACAGATCCCTTGTGCACACCAATATTTGGCCATGTATGCTGAACCATTGAGTCACCTTAATTTATATATATCCTTTCAATAACACAATGTTTTACTAAAAAATATTACAGAGTATAAAACATTGTGTTATTGAATACTACACAAGATTTGAAAATTTTGAATTTAAATAATTTCAATGTAATTGCAATATATGTGTGTGTTTGTGTATATGCGTACGCGCCGACACGCTAAGACATGGTTTCTACCACAAAAATCATACTTATGATTTCTGCCGAAAACCAGCTCTTGTATATATATATATATATATATATATATATATATATATATATATATATATATATTAATTTTTTATTATGTCATAACATTATTCATCAAATTAATTAATTCATTCGTTACTCTCATCCAAAGCATATTTTCCATCACCAAGAACAACATCATAAACTACACATACAGTCTTTATTGATATGAATATGTAATCCATCCACTAGGATTTTTTATTGTCTTCATTTTCTGCATTTTGCTTTCCTTTGTAGATTGATACGGAGTATTATATTTATATAGCTGATTTATATATATCTAAATAAAATATTTAAAATATTTAATTATACAATTTTATTTATTTTTTAAAAAATAAATCAAATACACCAAAACAATTTTTTAAAATACAACCAAATACGGAAAAGAAAAATATCTTTCAAAAAACATTTTCCAGAAATCATTTTTCGAGTTTCCAAGCGGACTCTTAGTATAAATTTCATCAATGAAAACACTCCAATGCAAATATCACGAACGTGCCTTCATATAACTAAAACTCAAATACAGACGTGCATTTGAATATATTAATCCAGTCATGTAAGCTACAGAAGCTACCAAAAGGGGTAGTGTTCCATCCAACATTAACAAACTTCAAACTCTACAAAACACAATTCATATTTACTTTACTGAATTTGAAAACATTGGTCTAATCCAGCTTTAAATTCTTGACAAAGAGCTGGCAAATGTAACACGATAAAAAAACATGTAAGCCAGCCGAGTACTAAGCCCCCTCCGCCAAGGTCCTCTTCGATGTGCTGATGTAGAGTACTGCATCAAGGAAAAATGCCAACTTTAATTTACAACTAAATTAAATTCAAAAGAAAAAGAATGAATTAAAGGGTAGTGTTTCCATTTAATTTGTAATCACTAATCACCATTGTTTCCTCGTATGAAGGCATCCCCGTACTTGTTCTTCAGTTGTCCATTAACATACTCTTCTGTTTGCTCCATTGCAATATTCATGTATCCATCTAAACATGCTAAAATGCCTGCAAAATACAGAATGGCAAAAGCAATGTATGAATATAATGTATCTTCACGTACTAGTCCAATAACACAAGCAAATACGTACAGTGCAAATTAAATGGCCTTATCACTCGAGCAAAACAAACAAACCCTTCACGACAGACTTTTGGTTGTAAACAACAGTTGCACTCTTTCATATCAATGATTAGGAAATTTTAGCGAAAAGAGAACAACTCTTCCTGTCATACTCAACAGAAATATTGTGTCCACATATTTCTCCATCACAAAGAATAGGTAATTTCTCATTGAGTATTGTGGAAGTTACGTTGTTTTTTCTCTTACTCAAATACAGAAATCCCGAGGCTCAAAAATGTAATGAAGGTGCATTAGGACATGTTAAGTGCACATAATACAACAGTGCTTTCAATGCAAAACTTATATTTGGCTACCTTTATTTAGATAGGTAGTACTAGGACTAGGAGCAATATCATGGCAACATCTCTAACAGATTGGAGCTATTATCTCCTAATATGAGTGATATAATGTTATCTTTTTTTCTTTTGAAACAAGTAGTCAGAGTGTAGATGATAAAAAATGGACCATGGAGGAAACCCGAGTCTCACTTTGGCCTTTCTTAGGCTTGTAAGTCTTTTGGGTCATTTTTAATAAGCTGTTTTAACAATAGTAAATTCTTATTTCCAAGTAATTCTTTGGTCTTAATGTCTTCTTCATGACAAGCATAAAAGTAACAAACTCACTACAATGTTTCTGTTCAAATAAATAGTCAGAAATAATAAAAATACCTAAGTAAATCGAAGTTACACAAGTAGAGAGCACAAGTGACCAACCTCGATAATCAACACCTGAGTTCAATTTGACGACCACGGGACGTCCACGAATAGATTTTAGAAAATCAGCTGGAGTTTTAGTGGTTGTTGAGCCTCTCTCCCCTGCCACAGCTCCACTCATCTTGTCTTAGTTTTTGCTAATTCTATACCAAAGTCCAAAACCAATAGTTAAATATCAATACAATTGCATATTTGCTTAGAATCCAGTAAACGCACACAAACTGTGGCTTCCCCAGCCTGCATTATTTCTGATGCTTTATGAACACCATAATGTCACAAACTGAAGCCTTTTTAAAAGCATGTTTAATATGTAGGCCTAATGTTAAGCCTTTTAAAAATCTTTAATAAGTATTGGTAAAAAAAAAATTAAAATACACCTAATACATAACTACATAGGTATATCACAACAATACAAACATAATAATAGAATTAAAACACTTCATTAAATATTATAAGTGTTAATACCCAAAATAGTCCTCGACTATATTGATTTTTCTCAATTTAGTCCTAAACGACTTTGGTGACCCAATGTAGGCCCAGACTTTTTTGTTTTTACTCAATGTAGTTCTCCGTTTGTTATTCCATACAATTGGTGTTAAATAGAGGGACAATTTGGTGGTAATTGCAATATTTGTCTCTCATTATAGACCTACGAAATCCCTCTTTCTTTTACGACCAGAGAGAGCTGCAAAATCCCTAATACCATTTTCTCCTTTAGCCATTGAACGAACCCTAGATAGAGGTATTTCGTAGCTCTCTCTGGTTATAAAACAAAGAGGGATTTCTCCTCATGAGAGGCAATATTGCAATTACCAAATTGTCCCTCTATTTAACACCAGAATAAGAAACGAATGAGAATGACTACATTGAGCAAAAACACAAAAGTTTGGTACTACATTCGGTCGTTTAGGATGGAATTGAGAAAACCACTATAGTTGATGACCATTTTGGTATAATGGTAACAACACTTAATAAACCATTAAAAAGTAAGAACTTAACAGGCATACTAAATTAGTGTTACTACCACTTGATAAAACAATAATGAATATTAAAGCAAATTAGCAATGCTTATAAATTATAACAGCAAGGTAACATATGACACTTAATAACAATAAATTATGAATATTATAGCAAATTATCAATGTTTATAACAGCAAATTAGCAATGTTTACACAGCAGACTCTTTATAACAGCTGCCAGTTCTTTACACAGCAGACTCTATTAGTTCTTTACGCAGCAGACTCAAGAATCAGATTCAAGATTGTACCTTGGTTCAAGAATAACATAAAAATTAATATTTAAAAAAAAAAAAAAAAAAAAAAAAAAAAAAAAAAAAGGACAAAGAAGCAGACTCCAAAAAAGCCGAGGCAGCAGTCGCCGGATCGCCGCCGGCGCCGGCACACCACTGCTAGACTGGAAACAGTAAACATACCTATTAGTATATCACCCGTCGGCCGTCGCTCGAAGTTGTTGAGTGTTAACTTGTTGCCGCAGCCCGCAGGAGTCGGGACTCACCGACTCAGAAATCAAAATGGGGGATTGGGGAGGGTTAGGGGTTGTAATTGGTACATATATTTGGGGATATATTGTAAATATAAAAATAGATTAAGTATACAATGTAATATATAGTTATATACTCCGTAATAACTTAATATTAGGTATAAATTTTAAGAAAAGTAGCATTTCTAGCCCTAAACTATTTTACTTTAAAAATTTTGATCCTTATCAAATGATTTGAACAAATTTAGTTTTTAAATTGTTTATAACATACCACATTCTTTTGACATTTCATAATGTACCACATTTTTTTTTGAAAATAATGTACCACATTTTAGTCACTCATGTTATATTTTTTTAAATAGTCCCTAGTATTATATAATTAGAAATTTTATTAATGTTATAATTCGACCTATCAACTCGCTAGTTCTCGCGTGATGATTACACGGTAAGTGCCCGGAAGTTCGTGTGTATGTATATGCGTGTATGTATAACGAAGTAAAGGGAGAAAGAAGAATAAGAAGAACACCAAATGTAGGGCACAACCAGTGGCGGATCCAGAAATCTTCTCCCGGGGCGAGAATTTTACTAACGAGATATTTTGAAAAATAAAAAAATAAAACACTTACAGACCTAGTCATAAATAAAGATGAAAACTTAAAAATACATCACAATAAAAAATATTTAAAACATAATTAATTAGATAAAATAGTTCGAATGATAAAAATAAAATAGAGAAGAAGTCACTATTATTCAAATATTTAAAACAAAATATAAAACATAATTAATTAGATAAAATAGTTCGAATGGAAAACACATTATAAATTACTCATCACACTATTAATATTAAAAAGTAAAAATAAAAATAAAAATAAAATATAGAAGAAGTCACTATTATTCAAATAGGCTTTCCTTAGGCAAAGGCGTATGCTCTACCATCTGAGCTAACTACTATTTTGTGAAATTTGACTGTTTTCTATTACTTATACAAATTATGTACTATATATACATACACATATACATACAAGGGTTATATATGGGATGGGGGTGAGGTGAATGGGGGCACCAGTCCCCACTGCCCCCATTGTAGGTCCGCCCATGGGCACAACAACCATGTCATTTCATTAAACTTTCAACCATATATATAGTGATCCATACAACCTTTCAACTCTTCAACATAAATAAGAGATTAAGTGAAAGACAAATGAACATGGTTTAATGGCCATCAATATACAATATTTATAACACTCTCCCTTGGCCATTAAATAACTATACTCATGCCTCGTTAAAAACCTCGCTAGAAAACCCAATGGGAAAAAACTAGACGAGGAAAAGAGTGCACGAAATATATTAAACCATTGTGTTGCACCGGTTGCCTCATTAAAAACCTTAGCCTAAAAAAACCTAGTGGGAAAAAACTTAGCTAAGGGAAAAAGAGTGCAACCATATGCCTTCAGAGCATAATCTTCAAGATTTCAAGGAGTTTCAGGACTATCCACTCAAGTGCACCTACATTGATTGCCTCATTAAAAACCTTAGCCTAAGAAAACCCTGTGGGAAAAAAACTTTGCTAAGGGAAAAAGAATACAATCATATGCTTTCAGAGCATAATCTTCAGGATTTCAAAAGTCCTCTAGATCGTCCATTATAGCACAACTAGGGGTTGTCGCTCCCCCTGAAGATAACAATCTTCTAAGCCAACTAATGCAACCCAAACTACTGAAGATCCATTAAGAGTACCAGTTAGGCCAATCACAAGGTCTAAGTCCAAACAATTAAGACAACTCTTTATTGGTTATGTTCAAAAATGGTGGAAATCCAATTCAAGCCCAATTGCAAATGATGGCGAAGAACTCAAGGCTTTTTATAATTGTTTAAGTGCTGATTTTGGTGATTAAATTAGACCCAAATCAGCCCTATTATTTTTGGTCATCATTAATTTAAATTGTTTGGCATAAAAGAGAAAACACTAGTTGTATTTAGAAAGGATTCCTTAAATCCTTTTCTAAATAAAACTCTATTTACTTGTTTTCTAGATTAGGTTTAGGACTCTTTTTCCCATTGTATTTAGATTACAATGCTGCCCTATACCTATAAATAGGGCACATCCATATCAGTTTTGAGGAGACTTTAATTCAATAAAATTCTTAAGTTTTTCTTTACACTTGTGTAAGAAACCTTATAGCTAATTGTGGACTCAATTAGTGGCTAGCCGTGGACTCGACTAGCAAATTGATTCGTGGACTCGAATCAATCTTACTTTCTTCAACATTAGATTTAGGTTCGTGGACTCGTTCTTGAATCGAAGGAAACTAGATCCGACTCTAGTTGATTGAAGATTGCATCATCGAGATACTTGAAGCTACAATGGGATTCTTCCAAGTCTTTGAGGATTCGAGACAAAGGGTTTCTCGTGAGGTTTAAGGTATTTTGATCCATCTCTATCTTTACATTGAGAGCAATTCTTGGGACAATACTCATCTTATTTGAATCTTGGACTAGATTCATATCACCAACGCATCCCAATTTTATAAACATATTACTCAAAAGTGGATGTAGGCAGAGACTTAGTGAACATATCTGCAAGATTATTCACTAGGGCGAACTTTCTCAACAATAATTTTACCACTCTTCTGGAGTTCATGTGTGTAGAAGGACTTAGGTGCAATATGTTTTGTAAGGTTCCCCTTAACAAACCTATTACTTGTTTGGGCAACACAATCTTTATTCGTCCTCATCATGGACATTGGGGGTAAAACATAGCATAACCAGTTTGGGACTTGGCATCATAGGGATAAAATAAAAGAGCCAGTACCTAAGTAGCCCATCAAAAGCACATATTGGTTTCTCACATAAACGTCAAAATTTTGTACCTCGAAAATGTTGGAGGATATGTTAAATACAATTCCAAAATTTCATTGTAGAGGGAGCACTAAACGTTGCTAGCAATTTCATCGCAAATTCAATATCAGGCCTGATGCGACTATGGAACTTCTAGTTCTATAATAGTGCTCCAATAACAACGAAGTAATGGACTTCTAGTCCCAAAATATCATCATTATCATCTTCGATTCTAAACGGTCCATTATCTACTACAAGAGATTATTGGACAACTGTTAGTGTAAATAAATGATACTTATCCATATAAAACATCTTCAAGTAGGCTAACTGGTGTATAAAACTTCTTTAAGGAGAAGCTCGATCTTAGTTCAAGAATAACATAGAAATTAATTTTTTTTTTTTTAAAAAGCACAAAGAAGCAGATTCCAAAAAAGTCGAAGCAGCAGTCGCCGGATCACCGTCGGCACCGGCACACCACTGCTAGACTGGAAACAGTAAACATACCTATTAGTATATCACCCGTCGGCCGTCGCTCGAAGTTGTTGAGTGTTGACTTGTTGCCGCAGCCCGCAGGAGTCGGGACTCACCGACTCAGAAATCAAAATGGGGGATTGGGGAGGGTTAGGGGTTGTAATTGGTATATATACTTGGGGTTATATTGTAAATATAAAAATAGATTAAGTATACAATGTAATATATAGTTATATACTCCGTAATAATTTAATATTAAGTATAAATTTTAAGAAAAATAGCATTTCTAGCCCTAAACTATTTTACTTCTAAAATTTTGATCCTTATCAAATGACTAGTATTTCCTATGCGCGATGCGCAAAAAATAAGTGCCCAATATTAATATTTTATATTAAAATTTTAGATTTATTTAGATTTTAGATATTTATATTATAGAAAATAACTAACATATATAATTCCAGTATATAATGTCTTATGTGTATATATATTATTATTATTATTGAATTGAAGAAGGTTAATTAGAAAATATATGGTGGATACATGTGCATGGTAACAATAGTGGAAAAGATAACGGAAGTTATAATGGTATGCGTATATTTGTCCAAAATAATGTATAATACAACTCTTATAGCATAATGTATAAAGAAAACATAATGGAAAAAACGGAAATAAATGAAGGGTATAACCTTCATTCACACTTATTAGTTTTTATAGTTTTTATTAGATTTGAACAAATTTAGTTCTTAAATTGTTCATAATATACCATATTTTTGACATTTCATAACGTACCACATTTTAGTCCCTCATATTATATTTTTTTGAAATAGTCCCTAATATTATATAATTAGAAACTTTATTAATGTTGTAATTCGGCCTACCAACTCGCTAGTTCTCGCGTGATGATTGCATGGTAACTGCCCGGAGGTTCGTATGTATGTATATGCGTGTATGTATAACGAAGTAAAGGGAGAAAGAATAATAAGAAGAACACCAAATGTAGGGCACAACAACCATGTCATTTCATTAAGCTTTCAACCATATATATAGTGATCCATACAACCTTTCAACTCTTCAACATAAATAAGAGATCATCAACTCTTCAACATAAATAAGAGATTAAGTGCAAGGCAAATGAACATGGTTTAATGACCATCAATATAAAATATTTATAACACTCCCCCTTGGCCATTAAATAACTATACTCATGCCTCGTTAAAAACCTCGCTAGAAAACCCAATGGGAAAAAACTAGACGAGGAAAAGAGTGCACGAAATATATTAAACCATTGTGTTGCACCGGTTGCCTTCATTAAAAACCTTAGCCTAAAAAAACCTAGTGGGAAAAAATTTAGCTAAGGGAAAAAGAGTGCAACCATATGCCTTCAGAGCATAATCTTCAAGATTTCAAGGAGTTTCAGGACTATTCACTCAAGTGAACCTACATCGATTGCTTCATTAAAAACCTTAGCCTAAGAAAACCCTGTGGGAAAAAACTTTGCTAAGGGAAAAAGAGTACAACCATATGCTTTCAGAGCATAATCTTCAGGATTTCAAAAGTCCTTTAGATCGTCCATTATAGCACAGCTAGGGGTTTTCGCCCCCTGAAGATAACAATCTTCTAAGCCAACGCATCCCAATTTTATAAACATATTACTCAAAAGTGGATGTAGGCAGAGACTTAGTGAACATATCTGCAAGATTATTCACTAGGGCGAACTTTCTCAACAAGAATT